CTAGAATCTAAGGTAAGCAACTCTGATGACAAGATGTACTATTCCCTGGCTAAAAAGAAATCAAAAGGCATCCACAATGCTACAGCATCCTTCTTTATTGCTATCAGTGAGGTGAAATAAAAAGCAACTATATTACTTCCCAGAAACACCGAATCTAGCCTTTTTATCTGCAGAAGCAAGGGCTTCAGGTGAATTCCTGGTTTGAACAACAGGAATGTGACATCTACTTTCTTAGCTGAACTGAGATGAGGAGGAGAGCTCCTTTAAAATGCAGATGGCTGGTCATACCTATATAATGTGGACCCATTAATATTGAGAATACTGTCATGTCTTGAGATGATTGCTTAAATTATCCAAAATGCCTACATGCTTTCTGGTTTCTCATCATCTAACTGAATGGTTTGGTTTGACATGTCAAGTTCCACATCTCAGGCATGGAATCAATAGACTTTGTAGGTCTGAAGATACTCTCAGACCAGAGTAGTACATGCTGTCCAATCTGGATGCCCACAGGGGCTGCTGGCTGCTGAACACACACCACCATTCCTTTACCAAGAAACTATATTGAGTTTCAGAGTGATTGTGGTTCTCACTTAGATTTCAAATAGAAACATAAAAGAACATCTATTTCTTTACACTTGACACACAATAACTAAAGAAATATTATTACTATGAGAACACATAGGAAAAATGTTTAGGTCTAAAAAGTAAGTGTCAAAACATAGGACAGAGAATTAAAACATTAAATGCAAATATGTATATTGTTGTCAGGGCTAGGGTAACAATTGACCTTCAAACATTCAAATGAGTTTTACTGTATTGAAAGTAACAATTCAGACTTTCAATCAGGTTTCTATAGATACCAACATTCATCAGGAATGAAAAAGATGAATGCACCTTGGTAGTTTTTCTTTTATACAAAAGTCAGTGCAAAATAAAACCTTTAAAAATCAGCAAAATTAAGTAGATCTTGTTTTTCTATTTCTTAGGAAGACAAAAATCAAACTATCCATATGTTGTGAACATTCAGGGCCAACACTTTCTCTTAAAAATAATGAAAATATCTGGAGTATACAATTCGAATTCACCTGAGATAGTTTTCTCATGTGTAAAATTTAACTAGCTCCAGGAACCCTTATGCAGATTTGATAAGGATGTAAAGTGCTGCCAGTGTAACTTCAAGATCTGGAGACTGAAGATTCATATTTCTTTTACTTCTCCAGTAGATATATAAACCCTGCAGAGAAGTTAGCTTTTAACAACTTCAATATCATCTGTAAGTTACAGTTAATGGAATCTATCTTATGCACTATGGTGTAGTGTAGACATGAAATTACTAGAAATTAAACTAGTGCTAATTGATACCTGGTGTGTCTTAGTTATTGTTAGAAGAAACAGCCACATAAATAGTTCTTTATGATTTCTTGAGATAGTTACTCATGTACCATGGGAAAACTTTCAAACTGTAAATAGGAGTATCCATCTAACTTTACCCTTCAAATGTTTTGTGTAGAACACAATATAAATCTCTTAGGATGCTAATTAGGGCTTAATCACATGTTCCTTAAGTCTTTCACTTCATCTCTATTGTTTCTGAATCTTTTTTCAGGTTCATTCCTTGGAGTTCTGTCATACTCCACACAAAGAGAAGTGCTGTCTGTTCATTCATTCACTGTTAACTCTGAAAATCCTGTGTTCTGGAAATGTACTTTGAATCTACCACATTATGGCTTGTAATGTACTTACCTATACTCTTTATCTCTTGAGCTGAAAAGGAAGAGATGTAGGTACATGCTTACATTTCAAAGTTCCTCTGAGTACTCCTAGTTCACCATGTTAAAAAACAAATCCCCTCAAACACTTCCCACTTTTCTATTTTAAAAAAAGATTAAAAACAAATCTAGCATATTTATGCCTCTGGGACACAATTACTGCACAATGTAGATGCCAGTGACAATCTTCCTAGAAGGAACATAATGCACCCATGAGGTTGCCTCCCTAGGCATGTACAGGTCCCTACTGTCTCCTAGTAGGTGGTTTTCTACACATGTCATTGATGCCTGTGTGCATGTGGGGGTGGATCTATGAAGATCTCTAACAAATTTACATTTGTTAGGTACTTGAAAGATATGTGATGGTTCTGTGTTGGGGAATACTGTGAAAGTGTCTGATTGGATCTCTGGGTAGGATTTTGAGAGTCTTTTCTGTGTATTTCTGTTAAAGATCCTGTAGCATCTGTGAGGTTCCCTGTGGAAGTCCCTGTGGAGATCCTTGCAGCTCTTATGCTTTGAACCATGAATATCTCTGGAAGTAGTATATGGAATTCTGGGATGTTTCTCAGTGTGCATGTATACAGGGATCCTGTGGAGATCTCTTTGAGAATCTATTAGTGAGCATTACTGTAGAAGTCTCTGCGTGGTTGTCTAGACCCATGGCATATCCATTATACCTGACTGGGCAGCCCTATTGATGCTATTGCCAGGTCTTTTGTTAACACTGTCTCCAGCCCTAAGGAAACCAGGACCCATTCCCAACTCTTAATGGACCCAAATGTAGCTCTTGGATTCCTTATGGGACCCAATAGTACAATCATTAGAGTCCTGGTTTCACTCTGGTTGCTGGAGTACTGTAGAGACTGTGGTCCTTGATACAGGGCTGGCTCATAAGAATCATGAGTGTTCCATATCCACTCCTAAAAACTGCTGAGTGTCTCCTGTAGAATCCAGGGAAGTGTTCTGGAATAGGCTCCATGTCCATATCCTTTACCTTGGTTGTACCTTGTGGAACAAATTCTTCTACCAGGGAATAAGCCACACTGCTGGATCTGTATACAGGTGGGCTTCAGTGAGGGGCATTGCACTGTACACAGGGAAACAGCAGCTCTTGTATGCAGCGACCCACATGTTTATTAGGAGAAATCAGGCTGGGACAAGGAAACCTGGGGAGGAAGATGTATGAGTCCCAGGAAAGGACAACTAAAGGTACCTGCATTTTAGGCAAGTCCTTTCCACTGTGTGAGGCAAACTTGTGAGATGGCTGGTTCTGGTCTCATGGGAATCCAGGGGCTGCAAGACCAGAATGACTTCAATAGTTTTCAGGTATCCTCTTATCCCTCGGCAGTCATGATGGCCCAGCATGAGAGTACAACGACCACCAGGTGCTGAATGATGTTCTGAATCCCTAATTTCTGGTCTTTCCACTAGCTAGTCTCTAGAAATGAGCAGGTAAGAACATGGGGATTGCAAGAGCTGCTGTTACTAAGCTAATCGTCCTTGGCTTTGTTTCAAGTTGTTTAAAGCTAAAGGGCTCCTCCAGTCCAGGTTGAGGAGCCTGAGGAAAAGCCAAGTTGAGTGACTCAGAGTGTGGTGTCTATAGTCTATACATGGGGAACAGGAGCTTCTCATGCATGGAAACTTTTAGGACATCATGATATGAGACCTCTTGCCTTGAATCTTATTTTCTACATTAGACTAAGATGCAGTCAGATGGGAACTGCATTTACAGTGGACCTTAAGGAAGTCTAAATAAGCAGACATCATGAGACCCTCAGCAACCACTCTGAGCTTACACCTCATGAAAGTTTTCAGCTCCACAATGGCCACCATTCTGGTGTGAAAGTTGACATAGTATAGGGTGGTACTGTCAACTAGGCTAAGATTAGGGGCCTGGGTAACTCATCTGGTTGGCAGCCTCCATTGAGGTGAGCAGGGGTACTGAGGTTCACTAGGTCCTTTATTTCTTGCCAGGATATCCACAGGTCATGATTCTCCTTCTTTGGACCATTGTCACTGTGCCTACACTGTAGATTGGTACACAACTACACAAATGTCACATTAAAGAAAATCAGGAGAAAGACATTGGGAACTGTTCCCAAGGGTAGGATCTGACAGTGTTGACTTAGCACTCCTCAGTCCTAAAGGATGAAGTGGGTCTTATAAGGTTGATATAGCATCACTACACCAACTCTAAGACTTCTTGTTATTGTCTTGTAGTGTTGACAGACCTAACACCTAAAACAGACTGGATGTCTTTTTCCATAATTATAGTATAATTAACAGCAGACACAATGATGAAACTAGGAGATGGTGATACCTCAACGGCCACTGTGTTCTCTTTGACAGTCCTTAAGTCTATCCCCTCCTGAACCAGAACCAAGATGGAGCAGATGCTTACAATTTACCTGTGTCCAGAAGTGCAGAAAATACACCCAGATAAAAAACACACATGGCCACTAGACTGATAGCTGGGAAGCCAGCACGGGACTGACTCAGGCCCCCCTGAATATGGGTCTCAGCCAGAAGCACTGAGCAGTCTAAGAGACCTCAGACAGTGGAGCCAGGATGTATCCCTGGTGCACAAAAGGACTTTGTGAACATATCCCCCATGGAGGGATAACTGCCTTAATCTAGAGACAGGAGAGAAGCCCTAGTCCCTACTTCACATGACCTGTTCAGATCTACATGACCCCAACTGGATGGCATTGCCCTACATATGGAATTGGGGTGGGGGAATGGGAGGGGAGGGTGTTTAGAGTGCATGTGAGAGGGCAGAGAGGGTAAAAGGGAGGGAAGGAGGGAGGGAGGGAGAGTGAACTGAGATCGACATGTAAAATAATAAATTAAATTTTAAAAAATTGCTTTGACTCCAAAATTTAAGTTCAAGGACAAGTTACTGGGGAAGAGGATTTCTATTTTTGTTTCCACAGAAAATGAAAAGATGTGGATTCCTTCCAGATTAATGTGGTTTGATCACGCCAGACCGCCTGAAACAGAGTACCAGGTGATCCTACATTCAAAGCAGCTGGACAAAGCAGCCTTACAGACTACAGCTAGGATTTCTGAAACTTCTTCGAATCCCCCATGACAGCGCCCCTTACCAGCAGGAAGTAGTTTTGAAAGAACAACGCCCAAATTCCCAAATATTGTGTATAAATGTTTATTTTCATTTAATTGGACTTTGTTATGTTAAAAAAAAAAAAAAAAAAAAACAGGAAGTAATGCCTAAATGTTTAATTGCTCCAATTTAGGAAAAGCATTTTCTTTTCCATAAATTGCATTTCTATAGCTGCAGTGTCTGGGACAATGGACCCGAGGGCTTCCTGTGACCCGTGGTGCCTGTTCCATGGGATGATATATGGCAGCTTGGGGCACATGTGGGCTCAACAACTCGGTGCCTTTGTTACGATAGAACATTGATTTGTCCGTGGAAGGATGGATGTTTACCTTGGGACAAACTTGAATAGATCTAGTGTTTCTTTGTGTTATCTTTGATTCGGCAGTACGAATCCTGTGCCGGCAGATGTGCCCTCCCCCTGAAGCTTTGGGTGCTTCCTGATAATTCACGGAAGAGGCACACCTACAATGAATTTTCTGTTTTTCCTCTGCAACCCATGCAGCACTGGTCATGAGGTCCTTTGCATCATCGACCTGCTGTGGCACAAATAGTCTATTCACAACGGCCCCTTGGCTTTGGATTGGGGATGATAAGACCCTGATTTTTGGCCTTGGGTTCTCCATCACTTTCTCTTTTGGTTTAAAAATTGAAAATACAAAGCTTTTGATCTTTTCCCCCAAATTCTTTCCCTGATTCTGTGAATTGTAGACTTGAGAAGGCCTTGTCCTTGAATGATACAGTGTTTGTCTGGGACTTCTATATTCGTTTTGGTTATTTGTACTGAAGTTGTGGTTGGTACACGGTTCCTGGGATTTAGAAATCACGGGAACAGTTCCTCCCCTTGATGGGAAATGGTGCCTGTGCTGGCAGCTTGACTTTCTTGTAGTTGACACATTCTTGTGGCTGGACTGGGAGGCCCTGGATGCCAGAATGTCAGCAGCTAACAGAACCTCAGGAGCACAGTCACGGAGGAAAGTCCCAGTGGCACAGTCCTGCAGGACCACACCAGAGGCCGAACAGTGACGGCTGTGCAGACCTGAGACTTCTGGGACCTTATCAATAGTTCTTGAGGTAGATGGACTTCCAATGGTCTCCAGAGATTTAAAATCTCTCAGATGTTTGTTTTTGGTTGGAGAGTTAGCCACTTCTTGAGCTATCATAGTGAGTGCCCTGTCACAGGACTCTTCCTCCTCTACCTCCTCTAGCTCCCTGGTATTCCTGCTGCTGGGTGATTGTGATGTCGTGCTGATGTTCCTAACTGACACACCTTGGTGTATAATTCCTAATGGCACTTGCTCACTGTCTGATGACTGACCCATACCCTTGATTAGGCCTGGAGTTGACCCTGGGTTGCTTGTCTGTGATTTAAGAAGATTATTACAGTGCCAGGCTCTGCCTATGAGACTATGTGGGGTGGACCCTGAAGTCAAACTATCTTCGTGGATAGTTGCACAGGTCTCAGAGGGTCCAGAGTTGTCACTGTGAAGACTAGCTCTTGGGAATTCCAGCTGAATCTCAGCAAGAGGGTGCTTTGTGGATTCAACAGTAGAATCCTCTTTCAGAACTTTCTCTTCTTGGGCTGGTAGAAAAGGTTCACCATGGACACTGGCTTTCAGGGGAATGGAATCATTTCTAGAATCGCCAAAGGACAAAGAGGTATTAGAGGGCCAAGACAACGGCAAAGATGCAGCCTTAGTCATGGTAAAAACCTGTATGATCTTGAGGCATCTGAGGGGCAGGCCCCACCGGTGTCTCACCAGACGTCTGGTAAGATGTGCATCCAGAACTTTTTGTGCGCCAGGATCTAGGAATGAAGGCCCATTAGAATCATTCTTGCAAGGGGTCAAATTATGACAGGATGTTTTTTCCAGGGGCATCTTACTGTTGTCTGTATGATTCCACTTACTGCTTGAGTGGATTGGCAGCTTGCCTTTTGGAAGCTCCTTTCTGTGTACCTCTGCTGAAACACTTGGTGGTTCAATTCTTTGGTGTCTCAGGTAGCTGGATTCCACCTCTGCATTGGAGATAATCTCTAGATCTTTGCCCAGGGAATTTTTTGGGCTCCTAACCAGATCTTTCTGTATTGTTGAAGCACAGTTGGTCAGATCCTTAGATGGTTCCATCGGTGATTGGGCTATCTCTGAAAAGGTTGATGAGTCACTCTGTGGATATTGGGTGGTGTCATCTGTCACTGACGAGGGACATGAATTCACATAATTCACCTCAGTCTGACCAATTCCAATGGGTTCCTCCTGACACTTTATCAGGTTCAGCGGTGGGTGTACCCTTTTTGGCCATTGACCATGCAGTTGATAGAATCGCTTTTTTAAGTGTTGCTCTAGGTGCTGCTGGAGCTCAGGGTCAAGGATTTCACCAGGGAAGTGGAAATGAGATCTCTGGTTCTTGGAAACACAATGTTTTGAAGTGCCTTCAAGGAATGCTTCATGTGACTTTTTAACCCTATCTGGCAGATTGTTCCTACTTTCTTCTTGTTTCTTCATGAGGTGCTTCTCTAGGTCTTCAATAGCTGGTGGGTCACTAAGTTGGTATCTTGAAGCATTAGAGTAAGAAACCCCATTGTTTCTAACTGGAGGTGAATGGCATTGTGGCTTTGGATCAGAGGTTGGGTTACAGGCCTGGGTTAGGTTGCCAGCCACTGGTGATGGGGAGTCAGACATCTTTGGAATTACAGGATGAGATTGGATCAACTGATGAGGCAAGGGTTTGAGAGAAATGAGCTGTGCAGGTATGTCCGACTTACTTTGTATTGCGGTGTATGGGGTAAGACCATTGAAAAAGATGGAGGGGGTATCTAGTGAAGACTGTACCATATTGACTGTAGCCACAATGGATTCACTGTGTAGGAAGGGGAGGCCCCAGAAAAACTGGCTACATGTCATCTGGACATGGTTGCCAGATACCTTTTGGTAATAGATTTGATGGTTTCCTGCCAGCTGTTCAGATTGGCAGTTTCTACTGCAAAATGGGTGTGAAGTGGTGATATTCTGCTTGCTGCTCCAGGACTCCAGCATACCACCCATGCAGCCCAAGACATCATCACTTCGTTTCTTTCCGTTCTCCTTCCATACTTTGAGATGCACCCTCTTACTGATCTGGACTTCAAGCATCTCCTGTACAGCAGGATTGATGAATGTTGGCTCCCCAGCCAATATATGCCGGTATGTGGGGCCTTTCCAGAATGAGGCCTCTTCCAGGCTGATAGAAAGACAATCTTGTGATGAATCACTATGTGAAGAGATGGATTGGCACCGGAACTGGGCAGATATATTGGACCAGGGAGGGCCTGTGGCAGGCCTGTTTGAGTTGGCAAGGCCTAGGTTAGGTGATGTAGGGCTATTTGAATTGATAAATCTTGGAGAGGATGAGGGAGGTTCTTTGGAGTTATTAAGGCCTGGACTTCTTGAGGGAGGCCTGCTTGAGCTGTCAAGTTTGCCAGGTGTAGAAGTAGGCCTACTTGAATATTCACATCCTGGAGCTGTTAAGGTAGGGTTTCTAAAGTTCTTAAGGCCTTGGGTGGTAGAGTTTGACCTAATTGAGGTGTTAAATTCTGGGGTGTTGGAGGTATGCCTACTGTAGTGGAAAAGGCCTGGACTTGTGCAAGTAGGCCTGCTTGAGCACTCATGACTTGGTATATTTGGGGTAGGCATGCATGAGTTAAGGCCTGCAGAGGTGTAGGTAGGTCTACATGTGTTGTTGAGGCCTGGTGTTGTTGGGGAATGCCTAGTTGCATATTTAAGGCCTGCGGTGTTTGGGGCAGGCCTGCATGAGTTGTCAAGGCCTTGGATGGACATGCTTGGCCTGCTCATGTGGTTAATGTCTGTTGTGATTTGGTTAGACCTTCTCGAGTAGTTGAGGACTGATGACATTGGCATGGGAGAAGGCAAATCTGGCAGAGGCATGCTCTGTGGGGTTTCCAGTGCTGTGGGGTCACACTGAAGACCCACCATCCTGGGATATGGCATTGATGGAGTATATGCCCCAGGATCAGGAGAATGAGAAGGGTGGGAAGGTGCCAATGGGGGTGAACAGCACCTTCCAGGAGTCAAAGTCTCTGGTGGCTGAGAGGCACTCCCAGGCCACTGTGACTCAATAGAAGCTGGGCCATTCAGCAGGACAGGTGACATTCTAGAATCTTTGGGCAGCAGGTGTTCCTTCAGAGGAGCAGAGGAAGCAGCTAGGGACAAATTGCTGGCCACAGACTTCTCTTTGGGCTGCCTAGGTGGCTGGTCTGCTCTTGAAGCTTCTGGGTTGGACACTTCAGCTGAGGAATCTTGTCTTAAGAGCTGGCAACAGCTGATGGTATTGACAAGCCTCCTTAGCATTCTGCAGGGGAATGAAGTGTAATGATAGCCAGGAGCACATGGGCCGAAAAGATGGGCAAGCTTAATAGAGAAGGACCCTTGTAGCCCCTCATACCACTGTTCTACACAAGGGTTTATACAAGACCCAGTTATCCTGAACTCAAGTACCAAACTCAGATCCCACCCATGCAGAGGTCCCTATTCCCTTCTTAACCTTATACCCTGTGTGGGGGTGATCACATAACAGACAAGGAGTGAGGGCAGAAAGAATAGAGAGGGCTCACCTGTGCAGAACTGAAACCAGTACCTTGTCCACCTTTTGTTTCTTCCTGCTGCCTCTGTAAGCTGGAAATGGAGACTGGGTTATGGTTGGGTAAGGAGGGATGTGTTTCTTACCAGAGACAGGTTGAAATGTCCCTTCTGTAGAAAAGAAGTGAAACAGGAGCTCAGGCATCTGTGAGCAAGGCTCTATGCACAAATGCCTGAAGAGCAAGGCACATGTGAGTCAGGACAATGCATGGACCGGGTTCTTCCACTTCTCAGGACGTCCATGGACTTCTTAACTTCCTGTGGAGTGGAGGGAAGGACCAGTGTTTTGAAAGAGGAAAATGTCTCAGAGACCTGTATCAGTCCATTTGCCCCAGGATCTTGGCAGCAGGGTCCACTTCCCACCACAATTCCCCTCCCCAGGCATCACCCAATCCTGGCCATCCAAGGCTTCCTTGTGTGCACAGAACGGGGCAAGAGTCTTCAATTCTGGGTTCTTGCCCAGGAGCTGCCTCCTCCGCGGTTCTGCAATTGTCTTGGAGTTATTACTCAGGGACAGGGGGGATGAAGTCTCTTCTCCGGGGGAAAAAAGAAGTAGCCTACCTTTCACAGTCCTGATTTTCATCCTGACCTTGCTGTGGGCCCTCTTCACCACCTGACAGAGAGATAGCACATGCAGTTCCATTCTCTTTCCCAAAATGTGAATGATTATGTGTTCTTTTCCTCTTTGGAAACACAAATGGGGACGCTCTCTGAGAGAGCCACCATGAGTGTCATTTGTCAGTGTTTTGCTCTGGATCCAAAGGCTCACTCTGAAATACCACCAGTCGCTTCCTGAGACCAGTGGCCACTCATGTCCTGGAACCCACTGCCCCTTCATGTCAGATCCATTGACCCTATAAGGTTGCATGTTAGAGGGGGACATAGGAACCAGTGCTCAGAAACGTTCTTTTCTCAGAGCTCCCTGACAATCCCAGGAGCAGCATCCCTGGCCACAGACTCACAGGGCTTCTCTCAGGTATGGATGGTGTGAGAGCTGACATTTTGGAGGCCACTCTCCCTTCTGCCCTACCTGCCAGTTCTTGGAGGATGGGGTTCTGCTGTTGCCTGAGATCCCCTGTCAGCCACCTCCCTATTTGATTTGGAAAGGGAAGCCTATGACAGGAGAGAGAGGTGGAACTATTCTATGTTGACTTGGGGCTAAGGTATTCTTACCATTTTGGCAGTGGTGTTTTCTGCTGGTGGAGGTGAAGGTGAGTTAAGAGGGAGGAGGGGTAATAAGAGGTGGAAGAGCCCCAGTCCACACACAAAGGCAAAGATTATATCCATTGCCCAAGTGGTGAAGCTGGGGGTCAGCCATGGACTATCAACGCTTTCCAGAAGAGAGAGAAAGTTCTCCATCCGAATCGCACTGTTGCTCTCAAGCAACTGAACTCTGAGAGTTCTGTCTGGGAGAGGGCAGTTGGGCCCAGGGCAGCATCACAGAGCTCTTGACTCCATGTCACAAAGGTTTCAGAGTGTGGGGGAGGGGTGGTCAGAAGGGGTGATAGAACAATCACTCCCCTACTCTGGGCTTCAGGGTTTCTCCAATCTCCAAAGTCCTGTGTGTATGTTTCCAATTTCACCTGTACACTCTGTCAGAAATACAGTCTTGTCCATTTTTCTGTTCCTCCACTCCCACCCATCTAGGGGCTTGTCCTGTTCTGTGGGATTTTGAAACCTGAAATCTTCCTGCAGAGACCTGTCTTTTACAAATTGCTTCACCCTTGATCTCTCCCAAGCTGTTCCACCACCTTGAGGCCAAGCACTCACATATATGAGCCTATGGGGTTTATTCAAGCTACTACATTCCATTCTTTAGAACTCTGTTATCTTGTGGCTACAATAGAAAGCAAAATTCACTTAGTCAAGGTTCAGTAGTTCCCATAGGTTTTCACAGTCTCCACATAATTTCAGAGTCCCAACTCCCTTCTCAGACTCAAGACAATCTAATTGTTTGCTCATGTAAACTAAGCTAAACTCACGTTTATATGTTTCAACATACATGTCATATAATTCATATTCTCATTCCAAACAAAGTTTTAGTGAAGAAACACTGGACACTGCAATACAAATCCCAGGAGTGCAAAAATCCAAACTCTTCATTTGGATGTCTGGTAGCAAAGTTCTCTTCAGCTTTCCCTCCCCTTCTGCTTTTTTGATGGCCACATACTTCTTTCTCTTGGGCCTGTCTATGCCCTGTTAGTAGCTTTCCTGGACAGGTGACCTGTGGCTCTGGCATCTTCAATATTTTTTGGGTCTCCTCTGAAATCCAGGCTTAACCCTAACAGCTTCACATTGGACCATCTCTGCGCTTCCATGCTTTGACACCCATGACAGATGTGTGGTCTCAGGAGCTCGCCTTATCCACAGAGGATAAGGACAACCCCTCACTCATGTTTTCTTCTTGCTCTAGTGTTTGAACCATATGAACAATGTTTTGATGGTCTGTTGCCTGCTTAGGAAGAAACCTAGAAATAGTGCCCCTTTTGAACTGTATTGGCATAATCTTTGATTTGTTTCTGCTGTTTAGAGACAAGTCATCACCTAAGGACTTTGTTTCTTACAATTTGTAGGATTAGGAGGGTATCAGTCGTTTTTACTCATCTTCACTTTATGTTTTTCAGCACTAACCAAGGCTCTTACATTAAATTCTTGTGCCTATTTTCTCCTCAACCTGTTTTTCATATTTTTATTTTTCCCTGCTTCCTCTTTTTCATTGTAGATCTGCATAATAGCAATCTCTAATTTCCACTCATTAAATTCAATGTTAAACTGTCTTGAAATCTTTGCCTAGTAAAATATATAACATAAGTCCAAACTTGCAAATTTAGCTTTTGCTGGATTCTGTGGACAAGGAGAGAAAGCATCTATGGTTTTGCCAAAATGTCACAAAACAGTGTCTAGCCTGGAAACTGTGTAGTTCATTGATCTAGGTCTCTATAGTCCACATTGCTCTCAACACTACTGTCTTCCATTCTCATACTATGACTTCCCTCAAAGCCTTGATTATAGCTTTCATCCACTTTCCTAGTGCAATGTCAAAAAATATTCCATATTCCTCAAAAAAAAAAAAAAAAAAAAAAAAAAACCCAGCATGGTCAGGCCTGTGGCAGAAATACCACACTACTTTTACCAGCTAATGTCTTAATTGCTTTTCTATTGCTGTGAGGAGACACCATGACCAAGACAACTTACAAAATGAAGAGTTCATTGAGGTTTACTGTTTTAGATGTTCGATTCATGTCCATCATTGTGGGGAGCATGGTAGCAGTTAGTCAAGAATGGTGTTGAATTGGTAGTTGAGAGCTTACATCTGATGGAAAATCAAGAGTCAGAGCAGAGTGATACACTGGAATGCTATGGGCTTTAGAATCTTCTGAGCCCAACCTCAAGGAACACCTCCTCTGACAAGTTCACACCTCTTAGTCCTCTCCAGACAGTTCCTCCTATCTTGGGACCCAGCATTCAAATGCACCAGCATATGGGGGCCGTTCTCATTCATGCCATCACAACAGTAGAATTTTTGACACTGCTTCTATAGCAAGTAGGGAAGAGCTGTCATCTTTGTGACGTGAGGCTTCTCATCTTTGTGAACATCAAGCAGTTTCTTCTGACTCCTTCAGTCACATTGTTGTGCTGTTCCTCACATGGTTCTGAGTTTGCTTTTAGAATTTCATCTGAATACTTAATTTGGAGCTCTTAGCATTTATGCTTTCAATTTATTTTACTTCATATGTTCACAGAAGGAGAAGAACCCCCCCACCCTTTTTTTTACATTAATCTTTCAATTTTTTAACTTTGGTGTGACCACTTATTCCTTCAGGTTGTTTTCTTGTTCATTCTCTCAGAGTTTCTCACTAGACAATTATTATTGTCTGCAAAAGAGACTTCTTTTCTTCTTTCTAAATCTGGTACTTTTGGTCTCACTTTCTCTTCCGTAGTTCAGCAACTATAGATTCCAGTGTGATGTTGAAGGAGAGTTGCTTTTTTCATTTTCATGGGAAATTTTCTCTTTTCTCAATGTTCCAGTGATGTAGTCTTTCAGTGTTGTCCATAGTCCAAGTGAGAATTTTGCTTTCCATTTCTGAAATGCTGAATTTTTGTGACACGTATGGGCACCTACATTTTCTACAGGCATGCCACTGTGATCTTTCTTGTTTGTTGGGGGTTCTATTTTCATTCATGACCCCCCCCCAAAAAAATAAATGTTGTATACAACAGGGTTTAAGTTTTACATCATTTTGTGGAGGAGTAAATGCCAAAATTTCAAATAGCTTGTCTCATACATTCATAGTCAATAACAGAGGGCAATGGATACATCCATGTTGTCTGCTTGCTTGCTCTAGCATTGTCCTGTCCTATAGAGTTCAAGACTCCCTATTCTGGGAATGGTGCCACCCACAATATTCTGGGTCTTCTGACCTGATTAACAATCAATACAATGACTCCACAGACCAGCACACAGGTTATTTTGATATTAGCAGTTCTTCAACTAAGACTATCTTCTGAGATGACTCTATACCAGTGGTTCTCTGTTAAGAGCAGTTTTTTCCTCCAGGCCTGGTCTCACAGCCATGCCAGTCCCAAATAACACACAGAGACATTGTATTTGATATAATGTTGTTAGCCTGTTACTAGCATTTCTTATCACCTAGCTCTGTCTTAAATATTAACCCATTTATATTAATCTAAGTACTTCCACATGGTCTTAA